GGGCAGGTCATGCTGAGCACACCTCACAGAGGCACCAGGTTTCCATAGTGAGCATTCACAATGCACTCATTGGGGCTTCAGGTTCTCCTTTCTGGCTTGTCAACTGGTTGATATCCTACTGCCTGGCTTCGGTACCTTTAGCTAGATGGAATCTGTCAATCAGTCTGTGTCCAGGTCTGCTAGAGTACAAGAGTACAGACTGCAAAATACAGGCCTCTCCAGTTCTCCCTGGTCTAGGACTGCACTCCCTTTTGGGAAAGCACTTTCACACGGAATTAGAACTAAGCAATAGGACATGAGGAGAGAGAAGGATGCTTTTTAGTGTGTCAACTCAGGGATATTTTCGGATAAGGAGCTATTCATCATAGTAGTAATGTAGGAATTGTATGTAGGCCTAAGCATGCATTACAGTTTATGAAGGAAATAAGTACCTTTTCCAGGCCACTCAGGATCTTCTCCAGCTCAGTTTTAGTTAGGATGCCAGCCTTCTCCAAGGCTTTGGCATAAGCCATGCTCCCCTGGATATCAACTTCAGATAGTCTCTGATCACAGGCAATGGAAGAGTTGAGCATCTCCATGATGGGATCTGTGCTTCCACTGAATCTTCCCCCCCAAAGTTTATCTCCCTGAGAGAGAGGAAGAGGCAAATCAAAGAGGCCTAATAACTTCATTTATAGTTTTAAGAACTATGTAATTTCCACTGAGAACTTTATGAAATATAGAGGCCAAGCTCAGGTATGTTCTTTCAGTGCAATCCTTTGTTGTTGTTGTTTAACAGAGACAGATTTTTCTTTGTTTGACAAATAGCTATGGGCCAGCATAAGCCACACATCAAGTGACTGAAGTTACTGTTTAGGCACCTCCAGAGTCCAGGATGTGCTTGCAAGCTTTGCCATGAAATTAGCATCAAATCAGCTAAGGTGCAGACTCTAGAACTCTGGATACCTTTCAGCATCAGGAATGTCCAGAAAAATAAGTCAGAACACAAAGAAGATTTTAAAATATGTAAGAAGAAAACTTGGTTTTCTACTCAAACCAGACTGATTTTCTAATCTCACATCCTCCAACAGGTCATCTACCTAATTACTTCACTATGTGACCAAAGACAGGTACGTAATTCCTGCCACACATCGTGACACTATGCATCTAAACCTTTTGCATCAGTGATTTAGCAACTGAATGGATTCACTACGAGCCATGTGTGACGCTTGGTCAGATCTTTGCTGGGTAGGATGCCTCCTAAAGCCCTAGCTCTGGCAAACTTGAGTGGAAATAGATAGGAATGTTACTTGTGCAGAAAGCTTACAACCAATCCAAGATTTCAAAAGCAGCTCTCCAGCAGGCACAAAGAATAAATTGGAGAACATTTAAAGGAAGGGTCTAAATATATTTACCATTGCAGATTGCAAAATAATCACTAATCTGTATGATTTTTTAGTACCCCTGTCAGTCTTTTCTCATGGTTGTAACTACCATGGACAGCAAAAAGTTGGCCAAGACATCTGCAAACTAATCTGTGCTGGGGTTTTATCAGTCAGACAAAATACTATTGAGTAATCCTGGAAACTTTTTTCCCTAGTGACTGTCTCCACATTTCTGCCAATCCCTGCTGAAACAACGTGTCTGAGAGGACAGCAAGAGAAAGCCTACAGAGGTGAGTGTTGCACGTAGTTCTTTTCGCATCTTTACAGCAGCTCTGTCAGCCAGCTGAAGGGAGGTAAAAAGAAAAATCAGAATCTGAAAGGAAAAGTTAGAGGTCCTCAGTGGATCCAGTGCCCAGGGAACTATGGCACAGGGATGTAAAATCAAAAGCCAGTACCAGATGCTAAGTGCCTGAATGAGGAACTGCTCTGTCTTAGGCATATCTTCTGTGCTATGGGGCTCCACTGAAGTAAGAGGTGGGTCAGCAGAAACTGCAACAGATACATTTGCAGTCAGGAAAGCAAAACAGAAGGATTAACTTTAGCTAGCTACTGAACTCTGGTCAGGCTAGCACAGTCTGACAGCTGATGGACGCTCATCTGTAACCAGAGCTGAGGAAGCCAGGGCTGCAGTAGCCACTCTGAAGGCAGAAGGCATGAGTTGCTAAGACAATTAGTCACCAGGCGCAGAAACTGAAAATGAAGCTTTTGTATATAGAAGTAGTTACACAAGCTTTTGTAAAGTATCTGCCTAAGCATAAGCTGGCCTGAGTGAAGTGCACCAGTGCGTTAAATTAGTCTCTCCGAGGTAAGGGGAGGAACCTGAAGGAACTTGCAGGCTGCAGAGACTTAGACTGTAACAAAGTTGAGCTTGCATTTGCCAGAGCACCGGCAGGAAAAGCAAAGTTTGCCCTCACCTCAGATGCCATTTCAGACGTTTGCTCGTGTGCACTCCCACTGCAACCTGTGGAACGGAACGAAACAGCTCAGCTCAGCTCTGGCCCTTCCCTGGCACCTCAACCCAGCAGTAAGGCCCCACCGAGCCCCCCCAGCCCCACTCACCGTCTCAGTAGCTCAGCCCGGCTAGTCGTTCCGTGCTACTCGCCCCTCTTCCTCGCTTTTACACGCCTCGGCTCCTTGCTGGCAGCTCGTCCCGCCCCGGCAGGGCGGGGTGTCCCTGCGATCGGCCTCGCTTCGCTTCCCCCTCCCTCGTAGCACCCCGCAGAAGTGGCTTGTTTCTGCTTGGCCTTTGGAAGCGTGCTGCTACCACATATTTTTTATATCTGTACAATGCCAAAAGTATTTGAGACAATACAGGAAGCACATCCCAATTTTCTTTCTTGTCCCTTTTGGGTTTTTCTTGCCTTTCACAAGATTCAGGTAGGAAGAGACGTAATTAGCCATCTTTTCTATCTTTTCTCAGTCCTGCTACTCGTCCCCTTTTTGAGTTAAAGATGAAGCCTGAAGCCCAGTGGGATTTCATGATTAGGGTATGTTGGTTTCTGTAGCAAAGAGGACTCAGGCAATGACACAGTTTAGCATCAGGCTTGTCTGCCTCTGGCTACCCAGCCTGAATGAGCAGATATATTTTGTCCCTGGGTTTCCAGAGCACTGCCTTCAGTATCAGCCCAGAACAAAGTTCACATTCTGTCTGGATTTATACCCAACTCTTAATTTGCTGCTTCTCAAACATTTCCCCCTGTGATCTTTTTTTTTTTTTTTTTGTGATGTGATGACTTTTCCCTTTAAAACTAGCAGGCCTGCAGACACGCACAGCATCACACTGAGAAAAGCTGTTTGAAATTTTTTCACCAGTTTCCTTCCTCTTCTGAATCCCTCCATGCTTGATGCTGCTCATGTCTTGTTGGTCTTTCTTGAGTGTCTTTGTCCTTATTCTGGGTTTTGACTGAAGGTTGTTGGGAAGCTGTCAAAACAGTAATGACACGTTTGCATCCAGAATGGATTATATACAGGGAGAGGCTTTACCTTCTGGTGTTTGTGATACAGGCTCAATATTGGTTATATGGAACATGCATAACATATACAAAGGATGTACCTCTGCTCTTAAGGCTCTGCAGAGAAGTTGCCCAAAGTCCAGAAGGGTTGGAGGAGGATGCTCAACACACGGCAGTCAGGAGGGTTAGAGGGCACCCAGCTGCTCCTGACACCTCTCCCTGAGACACCTCTTTTTGACCCACAGGGCTAGAGAAGGGGAGATGGGATCTCTGGCATTTCCTGAGTTTCCCTGTGTCTACTTTGCAATTTGAGATTTTATACCATTAAGCATCCTATATATGTATGATCACATTCTTTATGTAATTTGGTTTCTAAATATTACCTGTATTTAAGCAGCTACATGGTTAAATAGAACAGTGTAAGCTCCAATTTCTGTTCTACTTCTAGGCCTCTGTGTCATTTTTTCCACTTGTCTGTACTTGCATCTCTCTGTAACATGAGGCACAGAAATGATTGAGGAATCACAATGAAGTTGGTTTGTGTTGCTGCTGGTGAAGGTTAGATGGATACATTTGGGGATTGCTGTCTCATATTCATCCCTGGTGCCTGCAGGGGCCGTTGCTGTCATACAAATCCATCTGGTCTCACTGCTCTTTTGTGACAGCAGAGAAGTGTTAGTAGCTCTGCTTTTCTAGTTGAGAACTAGAGGGCAGAATGACCATGCATAGTAATGTGTTTAGGAGACAAAATATTCAGTGGAACTTTTCCAGAGCATGAAAGCAGGCTAGAGATATTTTCCTTGAGGAGACTAAGTGAATATTTCTTTACTTTGTGTAATGTTTAAGAGCCCCTCTGTAGGCTTTTTATCTGGTTGGATGTCAGATCAGAGTTACTGAACCATCTGCTGGGTCTTTCAGTAGTTCATTAAAAGACTACATGTCAGAACGTCTATCTAAATTGATAGTTATTGAATTCTTGGCTTAAATGACTTCCTGTTGTCTGTGACAGAGCAGAGATTTAAGCCCAAGTCCCTCCCAAGTACTGTCCAAGACACTGATCCTTCTGTTTGTGCAGAACTTCTTAAGATGGGAAGCAGGGCTTTAAGCACTCAGATCACAGTGTGTCATAGTAGTGTGATAGTGAAAGTGTGAAGGTGTTCTGGTCAGTCTCCTGTAATGTCTGTGGAGCTTCAGAGACCTTCAGAGTCTCCTCCCATTCAACGTTACTCCATAATTTTAAGAAAATGGTGGATGGGTGGGAAGTAGCAGTGACTATGAACTACTCATCTACGTAGGAGACTGAGATGTGACAATCTGCTAAAACTTCTGTTTTGCTTTCAACTTGGCAAGGTCCCATGTCATTTGGTACCAGCTATAAGGAGCAATGCTGGATACTTGCTGCTAGGAGCAAGAGGAAATCTGTTTGGCTGAGAGCTCTTAAGGTACTGAGCGGGGCTAGCAGATGCAAACAAGGAGAAAGAGGGGAGTGGCACGAATTGAGAAATTATTAATTGAGATTATGGGAGAAAAGAAAAGAAATATGAGAAGGAAATGGAGAGAGATCTTTTGCTCTGACTCTGTTAGTGTTGGGTGTTGATGTCACCTCTCCCTCTATTGCACCTTTCCTCTCAGAAGTAAGCAGAAGTGATTTCCCTTCCACAACTAACCTATCTAGAGACTGAGGCACAAGCTCTGTTTCTGTTTTGGAACAGAAAGTGACAGAGCAAATACATAAATTACTGAGCAGTAATTTAAATGTGGTGTTCTTTACATGGCAGCAGAATAAATCATGTTTAAGGCTAAGAGTAAGGTGAGTCTGAGGGTGATAGGAAGCATTGAAGAAAGGGAAGTTTGTGTTGCTGGTGCTTCTATGTATTTGAGGAACTAATGCTGCAAATGTAGATTGAAAGCACTTGTTGTCTTCTGTAGTACATCATTAATGGCAGGAGGTTTAGTTCACAGTACTTTGCACTGTGCTACAGCCCTTAACCAAAGCATGGTGAGGCAATGCTTGTGTTCCTGCCATTACCTACATATGTTGCAGAGCCTTGCAGTAGTCTGTCAATAATGTGTTGCTGTATCAGCGTGGAGGGCAGGGTGCTGAGCAAACCACCAGCTTTAAAATGTTTTGACAGAAGAGAAATTGTCCAAGACAACTAGCACTATTGTACTGTCAGTATCAAGTTAGTGTTTAATGAAATCTGCCCTGTCTTCCCTGTAGAAACAGTTTTTCCTCTGCCTTTCATTGAAGTCATTCCATGCAGAAATCACTGCAGAACACTAATGCAGGGGAATGTTACAAATGCTTATTGAATCAAATATTTTCCCCATAAAAAAGACGCCAATGTGGTGCACTTGCATTCCTAATATAATGCTTTTTCTTGCCTGTGTCCTGATTTTACATTTGCATGGACAGAAGGGAAGATGGTAGATTATTACTAAGGGTTAGCCAGAAATGCCAGCTTATTTTCAAGTACTCTGCCCCCAGCTAGCTTGGCCTGGGTCACACAGAAAAAAGGGCTTTCCTGGAAACAATGCAACTCCTGTTCTTTGGATTAAACAAAGCTGAAGGTGGCTTAATGATGAATGAGGAGGAGCTGTGGGCTGTCCTGCTGACCACGTTCTGCTTAAGACTAAGCATGTTTCACTGCCAACTGGTGAGGAAATTTTTCCCTGCCAGAAGGCAGGCAGCCTAGCTCTCTGGGAAACATAGTCCTAGCAGGAATTCAATGAGGGCTGGACATGTGGCATGTGTTACAGATATAGTACCATGTGTCTTTCCCTACAGACACCCCAATCTTCCCTCAGCATGTTGTACAGCTTGCTGTGGCACAGCTGTGTCCAGCCCTGTGCTGTGTCCAACTGCTCCCATCATTTGCAGGTCTCCTGATGTAGAAGCACCCTCCTACTGCCCTCCTGCTGCCCAGCAGAGTTTGTCCCCTCATAACAGTTCTTTTGCCAGGAAGGAGAGAGTTCATTCACACCAGTGACCAGCCTCAGAAGGGCTGAAGAAGCCCAACTTTGTCCCTTGAAAGCAATACGCAACACAGGAGTTTCAGTGAACTACAATACACCACAGTGTTTATTAACTCTGGATTAGTGTGATAAGCA